CAGTCACGTGATTTTCCTTATATACCATTGCTTATAAATAAGTTCATGGCATTCTAATAAAGTAGTTGTGTAGAGCACTTGGTCTGATTCACGGGTTACTCTATAGTGGTATATCAAACTCTAATACACAACAAAAATGCACCATCAAGACAATTTGATAAACTAAAATTCATCCTTAAATTATCAGTTTCACCACAAGTATCATTATTATCATCATCATCGTTATTGCCATCGTCATCATCATCGTCTTTGTTGTTATTGTCATCGTGACAGTCATTGTCAACGTCATTTCATCGTCACTATCGTCGTTAACGTTACTATAATCACTATCGTCAATACCTGTTGTAAGCATGGAGAGCACTTCTTTGAAACACACCCAGTAAAGGATGGATCCAGATTAATACTCCAGAGATCCATACTAGGATATAAAATGTAACTTCGTCGTATTTTACAGAAAGGACTTCTGTTTTATAGACTCTCCACTTAACAGCGTATGCATAACAATAGACAGCCACTGCTAAAGAAGCTTTGTTTCTGAGCGGTGGTATACCAAGCCATAAAAAAATGCTCAGAACTAAAATCATAGCATTCAGCCAATAGGGAGTCACAACCACAAACTCTTCTATGAACCACGGGAAAAAAACCATCGCAAACACGAACCCTGAGAAGTTTGACAGGAAGCTGGCAAACGGTTTTAAAGATGGACCCACCACTTTTTTGATGACAAGGAAGAAAAGAAACAACAAAAAAAGGAGAGCAAACGTAATGATCGTAGAATACATTTCAGGGCCGAATTTGGGGACGCATTCGACTGTTTCTGTCATATTGAAAAGCACGGAGGCTGCGGGATTTTCCACAAGTTCAGCTTTGGTGAAATTGTGTTTTTCTTCATCGGGGCAGGTAAAAGGAATTCTCATCAAATAACCGAAGAAGCAATCAATGATTAAAGCAACAGGAAAAGCAAAACCAGACCAGTTGGAGACTGGAAGAATGATTACCACTAATATGAGAAGAAAGAGAAGTGTAAAGGTATCTAAGATCCCCTGCAGAGGTTTCTGCCAGTCACAAATAATTCCGACTCTTCTGCGCATGTTTGCGAAGAATTCCCGATGCCATTTTGGATCGTCTTTCTGCTCATTCCGGTATTTCCAGTCCAGATAAGCTGTGCCTGTATAACCGCCCCCTGAAGTACAGCTGAGGAAGTCTGGAATAGTCTCTTTTTGAAGTAGTCTGCGCAGCACACCGGAGCATAGTGCCGCTGACCGAATACCACCACCTGAGAACGCCACACCAGAGGTAGTCATTCTACAATGGCTCTATCTGCGTATGACACATACTGGAACGAAAAGATACAATTAATTTATGAACGTATTTTTTTAAGAGTTTTTTAATCCCTGAAATCCTTTTACGGCGAAAACAGGGTTTGTTTAATGACAACTGAGAAACCTTAAATACCCCATAAATCTTCAAACTAAGTATCGCTTCACCATACGTGCAATATCTCCTCTAATGGCAGGAAAATAAAATAATTGGTTACGGGAAATTAATCAGTCTTAACGAACTGAAGCAAGGATATTTTAACTCTATAATTACGCTGAAAGGTTGTAAAAGTATTTGGAGAAAGATGTCTAGATTGTACAGTAACGTGCTCAATAATCACTACTTTAATTTTTCGTAACTTCTTTTTGCTTCCTTTCAACAAAGCTATCATTGTCTCTAATCAAATAAGTCCAATTCTCGCTCATAGTGAACTTCACTGAATAATAAGAATTATTTCTCTATTTACTCACTGCTATTACATTCTTAAACCAAATTTTTGAAATAATTTGGAGGATTGGTAGAACAGAAAATTAGTAGGAGGAGGACACTCATGATTTGCAGTAAGAGTTCAACATCACTCCTTCAATAATCTCAAAGAAAATATGTGGATAATAAAACGTTTCATTGTTGCTAAAGGGTGATAAACATGAATGAAAGGTTTCGTGTCAAATTTAGAGTAGAATTTATAAATATGAACAGGCTTTGCCTGAAATAAGTTACTGCTAATTTGCACGGTTTTATCGATGTAGGAAACGTTTCTGTTTGATATGGAGGGGCAATCTGCAAAAACTGTTGTTAAAAAGTCTGTCAGATGTGTTCCTAAACGGTACCAGCACTTAACACCAGGGTACCAGTGATCCCTTAAAACTCACAGCATAAATGTATCTTTCTACTAGTAAATACCTCGTTACATGGGGACTTTTATTTTCTTCCTTGTGGGATTTTAATCAATCCTTAAGAGCAGACTGAGCTCTCTGTCAATCAAAAGGATCTAATCTGCGAAGGATTCCTAACTTGATTCTCAATTGTTGACTGAGGAAGTCACACCGGTACGATTACGTCCACATCTGCGTATGACTCAAATCAGAACAAAAGGTATAAAACAATTATCAACTTCTTTTTGACATCTTTCGAATCGTCTGGTCCCTCTTTAGCTTAAACAGGGTTTGATCATCGACAACTGAATAAAGGGGACAAGTTTCCAAAGTTGTAACTCTGCCGCTGCGTCGGTGGAGGGTAGAACAGGACAACTTGGTCTCATCAGCTGAGTTGATAATGTAAATTTGCCGCCGTAAAGAGTTCATAAAGCTCACGTTTCGAGTGAAAGTCCTTCGTCGGAGTCCGCCTTTATTAGACCTTCGTCATTCGCGCGCTCCGACGAAGGGCTAACGCCCGAAACGTCAGCTTTAGAATATGTTTATGGTGGACAACTCTCGCACATTATCAACTCAGTTGATGAAACCAAATTATCTTGTAGTAACACATGAGCAGCCACAATTTCTTATCTTCCTCATCCTTTTTCTGGTCCACATGCCACAGTTCCCCACAGCGGTGAAAATAAAACAATTTTTCAAGAGAAAATAATGGATCATACCCCACTGAATCAAAGATATTTAAGCGCACTTGCTTTAAATTTTGTGATCCTGTAGAACGAGGCAGGCTGTAAAATTTATGAAAAGAACGATATGTACATTATCACATAGCGTTCGACTATTTGAATCAAGTGAAGTGAAATTAAATTTTCTCCTATTTCAAAATCGGACCGGCTAAATATGAATTTTTATAGAATTAGGTATTTTATACTTTTTAACCAAAACACTTAAAGCACCGTAGGGATTCATAGACACGCCAGATAGAAATGAGTGCACTTATGACCAACAATAACAACTTTATATCCATGTATGATTGTTTCAAAGCGTATTACAAGTAAAAAAAAGTTCAGGTAGTCATGGTAAAGAAAAGCTTTCGTGTCAAGGTTAGGGTAGTATATGTAAATATTGACGGGTTTTGTGTCAAATATAACGCAACTGACTGGTAAAACTGCCTCGATCTTGGCAGCATTTTCTGTTTGATATGCCTTGAAGCAACGTCAAAAAACCAAACACCAGAAATACTTCACCGATTTACTATGTATCTGAAGATACCCTTTCAAACAGAACAAAACATCGATTTATCAACAGACTTAACACAGGTAGAGCTCCTAATTATCAAAATGTTGTGTAAAAAAAATGGATACTCAAACTCTCAAAAATTCATAGTAGAAAAGTGTGCGACTATCTGTAAATACCTGGTTGCCTTTGAACATTTTTTTGTCGTTCTTGTGTGATTTTGGGATAAATTAGGCAGACAAAGCCTCATTCCTTAGATAAAAATGAGCTTTTGAATCAATCATAAGGTCTTATTTGAATAAGATTCGTAACCCGTGACCTGTTAGCCACCCGCTAAAAAACATTAGCCTGTAAGCCGATCAAAAAAGTTAAAAAAATCCTCTGAACAGATTGTACTCCATAAATTCCAACAAATCTCATGGCCTGAGAATTTAAGGAAGAAGTTAGCTTAAAATTAAATCTGTTTATTTAAATATGTGTATATTAAATATGTTTGTCTCCCTCAATTTAATGGAGACAAACATGTCATTCTTTAGAATCGAAAAGAACGATCTTGAAAGTGCAGTAGATTTATTGAAAAGTTGACAAATTTCTCGTGAACTAATTAATCACTGATGAACTAATCTCGATGGAGAGCAACGGTCAAAAGGATCCATTGAATCAGTAGGGCATTCTTGCGCTCACAACAAATTTTGAAACAGTCTTTTATTAACAGCAAAAAACTAGAGAGAAAGAAGATGAAAGGAATTGTAAAGAAACGAGAACAAAAAAATGCAAGAGGTTTATCTATTAGCAGGAAACAAACAAAATTCAATACTGAAACTCCCCAACTTCTTCATATTTATCCACACAATCTTAACATAACACCGCGTTCCCAGCCTGAGCCCTAGGCTGAGAAATTGGGTTGTAATAATCTTGAAAATAAGTCAATTTATTAGAAAAGTTCCCACACCTGGCCTCAATCTGAAGTTGAAGGCTTTTTAGACTCGGAAATGACCGATTAAAGCAATTAATCGTAGCGCCATGAAATCCATTTCTTTTTCTTTATTATTCCTTTCAAAAAACGCGCAACGGAGTTGCGAATTTCCTTTTTTACTGACGGATATCCCGGATGTAAACCTTCTCAGAGTTTTCTTTCGTGGCTACGATTGACGAGAAATCCCTCCAACTGTGATATTATTAGAATCGAGAGGAGACTAACAAAAATTCATGGATTAATTACATTCAAGCGCTGAGACATTCTACAATCACTTGGGCAAATTGCTTTCGATAACAGCAGGCTGACCCTATTTCAGCTGCTAATGCAGGTTGAACAATTTAATAAAAACTTGTTATTTTCATTTTCATTTCAGTTTCAATCTAGTTATATTTTTACCTAAAAAAACAACTTCAACTGTTGTTATCAAGCAAAAAATTGAGGTTGAACGGTGTTTGTCCATCCAGTTCTCTGGTAAAAACGGGAAGACGGAAAGTTTCTGATACTAAAACGGTGACTGTAACTAATGACTCTCATAAAACTCGTACAATTTATCCATAAGAACGCTTTATTGCTTTACAGCTCCGCCCGTGAAAAATCCCTAGCAACAATTACAATTGTTAAGCTGATCTTTTATGCAAAGTATATAGCAGCACGATCGCTAATGAATGAAAAACAAACAAAAAGAAACTCGCATGAACTTAAAACAACACAGAAGGTTCGAGAGCATAACTGAAGGTTTGAAAAAGCTGCGTTTCTGTAAAAGTTGTACTTTGGCATCTTTGCAAGAATGTTTTCATCGATTCTTTTTGTCGGCCTGACCCTAGCTAAAGAGTTCCTAATTTCACACGCAGTTTATAACGCAGACAGGTAAGTTTTATTTAAGTGTCAGTGAATGAAATTTAGCTTCTCTTGAGGTTGTAGTTGTCTCTTCCTCGGGTCTTGTTCTGAATGAGTTTGGGCAAAAAAAGGTTGGTCGAGCTATTATCAAAATCACTTGAAGTAGTTCTAAACGACATTTGGTTTTAAGTTAGTGACGAGGAGTCTTTTTGAAAGCTAGATGTGTAAGTTCTTCTGTGACCATTGCAAATTGAGAACGCTCACTGCTCTAAAACTCAAACCGTAGTTTAACTTTTACCAAAACTTGACACGAAAATCCACGTTGAGGAGTTATTTTATTTCAAAATCTCAAGTTTTCCTATTGTGTACTTAAAAAAGAAGTTGAATACAAGATATTCAAAATGTTTATCAACTTTACGATCATATTTCTCTCTAAAACCTTCATCTATTATCATCTGCGGCTGAGGGTCAGTCTCAAATTATTTATGCTAATCAAAAGAACCGCTAAAACATTTATTATCTCAGGATAAAATTATTGGGCTGCGTGATAATTCGTGTGGGTTTGCTCCTGTAGCTCTAATGCGGCTAAATTGTGGACCATCTTTAAAGCATTTAATATCTAACAACACAAGTATCTGTTTTGTATGATGTAAACTTTTCTGGCCTGCGTTTTCATGCTCTTCTATCCCCTATCTTCAACTGAAATTGAGAAAAACAGATAAAACCAGAGCAGGTGATTAAGACAATAGCGCTTAATTGTTAGCCTTGCTGGTCGCTTGAGATCTCGTTCAATGATAAAAACCTCTGTTTAATGGTGAAATACACAGCCCACAGAATAAAGAGAACGTCAGTGATGAATCAAATACACTACTTTTCGTGAAAACCGAGTAATTTCATTTCAGCAATAACACTCGCACGACATTGGTTTTGAAAACGTTGTTTGAGGGATACGACAAACGGCTGCGACCCAATTTTGGAGGTAAAAGGTTATGTAGTTATACTGAGAAAGTAGTCATAAACTGTGAATATCATTCATGCGGTCAGAGGACAACCAGGTTTAAATCAGCCACTTTTTGTTTCAATTAACCATGAAAATGTCTCACTATTAAAAGCCTCCCTATTAAGAAAATAAAATAAAATTGGCCCGCGTAATGATTTTGTAAAAGTTCACGTTTTGCTGTGCATGTTTCGTCCTGTTATAGGCTGGGAAAGATTTGAATCAAATTTTAAACTCTAAGCAAGAAAATTAGGACATTTTCATTTGCGTAGTTTTTTTTTCAGGTCAGGCTCAGATTCAAACTAGTTCACGGATTATCTCAAATTACGTTTTAATGAATTATCACAAAATGGAATTAATATCTACATAAATCACTTCATCTTTATTCAAGATAAAATATGTCTTTAACCGCATCCTTTTTAAAACATACCACTTAAAACAGCAATTAGCTCGGAACGTGAATGAATCCACATTATTGTGCTTCATAATGCAACCAGCTGCTTGCAGTTTTCATGATTATGAATCAGCGAAGCCAAGAAAATAGTTGATAGATGAGGTTAAAAATTTAGAAAGGTTCAATCAAGTGTTTGCAGTATCCATTAACTCTTTGATCGCTAAGAGTGGTAGGCATCCATTTTCTCCCGACAATTTCATCGCTGAATCAAAATCGAGGTTATAAGATTAAAGAAAATTATCAAGAAGGAAAAAATGTCTTGGTTTTGAAACATCTTGTCTCCTTTTCAGTATCACAGGAAATTAATTTGGAACAATTTGGAGATTAAGCACACTGATTTTAGGGTGTAAATAAAATACGATGATTATCACAACTCCTAACACTTTCTTTCGAAGGTCCTCCATGCAAAGTCAACATTTCTATGCATGTTTTGTCAATGGTGCCAATCAAAGAGATTGATATGGTAAGTTCTATGTGGCGAACGTGGCTTGGTTTACAAAAAAAGCTCATAACTCTTTTTCTCTCCCAGCAGACTGATGAGAGTCACCGGAGAATACTGGACTTTTATATTCAACGGTCAAAATATCTTTATCGAAACCCTGCGTACGACTATTATCTACTCAAATAAGTCATAGAGGATTCCAAATAATTAATAAGCGGATCGGTCATTACTTATCACCAGAGGGCCGGGAGGGTCTGGGGGTGGGAGGTTGATCACATGGTTTTTAGTGAGGGACGGAGGGGGGAATCAATCGTCGCTAACAAAGTATAAAAGGGGGGGGAGGGGGAGCGATAGATAACTGCCAATGAGCGGGGAGCATTAGAATAGTACAGAGCCTTAGGAAGAACAGATAACCTTTATTGTGACACAACCAATAATCCCCCGTCCCACTTTGGCGATAAATAATGAAGGTTCCTGGATAGATCAGAGAAATCAGTTTTTGTCGCATGCAAAGCCTGGCTTTAGTTGAACTGGGGTAAGAACAAATCTTGTGAATATTCTAATATTCAGGAGGAAGGGGGCACAAATTGGAACCAAAAAACACAAGAACAGGGATTATCTTGAGAGGAACTGTATTCGTTCGACTAGGGAATATTTCACCTCATAAAAACCTCTCACAGGGGAGGGGTGGAGAGTGTTTAGCTATCGGATGAATATGAAGTAAAGTTATACAAACTTGTCGTTTAACTTTAGTTGCCTCGTATTAATAGATTCTGAAATGTTTCATGTATAGATCATGTGGCTGTTTGTTATTTTTATATGAACGAAGGAGGCGACATTCGTGATGTTTTTTCGTCAGCATTGGTTCGACCCTCGTTTGGCTTATGGCCCCACCCTTGGAATGCCTAAAATGAAGCTGAGTGGGAACATTGTGGACCAGGTTTGGATTCCAGACACGTATTTTGTCAACGATTTGACCCAAAAAACATCCTGCGCAGATTTTATGTTCGAACTCTCACAAGAAGGTGTCATCACGCATAGTTGCAGGTTAGTTTAAGTTATCTTATTCTTTGCACTTTTTTAATACCTAAATTGGCTCCCTAGTTCGGGTACAGCCAGTTTGTGGAGTTAAAAGTTCGGATGTCCTTAAGTCCTCTACAGACCAAAATAGTATGGTTCATATAGAACAACACCCCTACGTTGATATTTAAGCTGTTTGACTGTAATATATTACAGGATTACGAAAAGCATTTTACCTCAATAAAAAACACAGTAGAGTCGAACGTATATGTAGGGCTCATTCTCACGTTTTCTATACTTTTGATTTTCTTTAGACTGAAACTAAGTTTATACTGTCCGATGAATTTGCGAAAATTTCCAATGGATGAACAAGTCTGTGAAATGATCTTTGAAAGTTGTGAGTATGGACTTGAGAGATAACCAAAATTGCATGCAGCTATGTGACTCACGATCAGAAAGATGTCGAGTGGCGTAGCCAATCACATTGCAGCTTTTGCAATAAACCACTACTTGGTCACTTAATACGAAAGGGTAAAATTAATACTAGTTCCAGTCACCCTCAATGTTTTGAAGGCGGGAGTAATATTTGATGGCGTAGTCTGATTGTCCAGGTAAGAGTAGTCTTGAGGAGGACTGCTGTCGGTAAAAGTGGCTGACGTTTCAAAACCCCTGTGCAGAAGTCAGCTCAAATTGCCAGCTTTTCACTTTGGGTACTTTGGAGGGAAAAAGATGATTTAGATTAAGAGAGATGAAACTAGGAGGTAAGTCTCTATAATATTTCTTGTGATTTCAGATTCTTACTCCACAGAAGATATGATCTTATCTTGGCTAACTGGTGGTAAAGATTCGATCGGTGTGTCAGGGGAACTACAGATTCCTCAATACACTCTAAAGAAAATAGAAATCTCCATGAAAAGTCATGAGTATAGCACAGGTAAAATGCAACAGCTGGATGGCTGGGATTGTGCTGTTTTTCAATCCATTTCATGGGTAAACAGAGGGGATGTGGGAAGAATTCATGACGGAGATCTGAATATTTTATCACATTTTCACACATGCGCAAACCTATGGAATTCCTTCAAGAAAGCAAAACCCAAAAAATGAGTCGAGCAACCCTTAAGGTTAATCATCCTAAGACAGTGATTCTAGGGGAGGTAAGAGGAGGAGCCAAATTAAATTTTATGATGATTCTTCATTGTATGCATTGTGAGAAGCTGAAAATAAAAAAAAATAAGATAAAAACTGAAATTTGTTTATGATTAACACTTTTCGATTTTTTCAAAACCGTTTTTTTTTTCAGGTAATTTTTCGACCTTGTTAGCTAGATTCCACCTTCAGAGACAAATTGGCTATTACATTCTTCAACAATTCATCCCCACAGTACTTATTGTAGCTCTAAGCTGGGTTGGTTTCTGGATCGATGAACGTTCGGTTCCGGCACGGGTATCGCTCGGAATCACAACAGTCCTCTCCATAACTACGCTAATGTTCGGTATTCAGTCGAGCCTGCCGAGAGTCGGTTACGTGAAAGCAATCGATGTGTTCATCTTGGGCAGTTTCCTTTTTGTGTTCGCTGCTTTATTGGAGTTTGCAGTGATCTGCTCATTTGCGAATGCATCTTCGTCGAAAAGAGAGAGAAGGCCAAAGGAAAAACAGGTTGCATCATATGAGAAACCATCTGTGATTTTTGAGGAAATGAATGACGTGGAAAAAAATTATCAAGAAAGTGGCACGTTTCGACAAGTTTTTGACACCAAAAGAGACGGGATTACGGTGAGTACAGGTCAGAAAAAAATAGGATAAATCAAATCAAGTTGTAATATATAGTTCTCAGTTCACACAATCTACTTCTCAAGTCCTGGCTTTTTGAGTAATATCAGAAAAAAATCTTTACTTGCGTGCAAATTAATTCATTTATCTACGCGAAGGCTCAGCAAAAAAAACTTTAAGCATGTAACAATTATTTAAAAAGCTATTTTTTTATGGCGGATGCGGGGGGGGGGGGCTTTTCTAGAACAGCGTGCAAATATTTTTTTAATATTCAGACCTGATTTTCATGTGCGGTCTCTTTCTTTTATAGGAAAAACATTATCGCGACGAAAATTCTAACTACTCAACGAGCTTCATCCCAACATTGGCAATGTCTACAACACCGTGGTTTTCAATTAAGAGGCGAACAGGCAATGCAAGGTTTTCAAACAATCCAGTCTTTTTTCCTAAACTAAAGCCGTGTAAGATCGATAGACACTGCAGGAAACTCTTTCCTTTGGCATATGCGCTGTATCTTTCAATTTACTTCGCCATTTACTTTTTCATGCCAGTTTGAGGTTTGGCTATACTGTATATTAATCAACTCAACCAAAAACCTGTTGTTTGTTTTCTCCGTGCTATTTGGACCGGGTTGAACCAATACAAATGATACTTTATCATCAGTATTCATCGGAGTGTACTTAGATACCCCGCTGACCAAGCGGATAGCCTGCGGTAGGCACAAATTAATCTTATTACTCCTGTCAGCGGTCAGTTTATACCGCAGGCTCATTGTTTTTACAACCCTCACTTTTATCGTCAACTTTTCTTCGAATCAAGATTGAAACAAAGGTAACCAAGATGGCTGATAGGCAAGTCGTGCCTCCGAGGATGTAAAAAGCAATTGCATAGCTCTGCAGTCCATCATAAATTATCCCAGCAATCAGTGGTCCAAGTGTGCGAGGTACAGACAACAACAAGAAGGACATTCCTAAGCCGTACGACACTTTGTCCGGACCAAGAATGTCGCATACGATCACAGGATTGAGGATCAGATAAGCTCCGGCAAATAATCCAAATATGAACGCATTTATAGCTAAAATGGGGTAAGATTCAGTGACTGGTACCATAAAGTTGCTGAATCCCATGACTAGGAACGCTAACTGAACGATGTACACGCGATTGAAACGTCGGATATCCGATAAGCGCCCGACGATAACACGACCGAATGCCGATCCAACTGTCACGAACGTTAGAAGAAGAGAGGCTCGTGTCTTGTCGATTCCGATGTCTTCAGCAAGGCGCACCTTTGAAAAGGAAAATAAAGATTGAATTTAAGTAACTCCTGTAAAATTCTCAAGTAGTTCATAATTGGTGTGAAGATACAAAGGACGAAGAGTGGTTTTCTTAAATGGGAGCGATTGCAATTCAACGAACTGCAAGTCGAACACCGCTTATAAAAATTTATGTTGTGTAACAAAACCAAATGGTTATAACTACAGACAAATACAAATAAGGTTTAAAATCTCACCAAGTGTACAAAGGGGACCATGTATCCAAGCATGAAGATGGAAACAACCACGATCCACATTAAGAATGCTTTGTTTTTTAAAATTCCCCAGTCAAAAAGACGCCTCTTCTTAACAAACGTAGTTATGACATCATTCTGATGAGGCAAAACTCTACGCTTCGGGCGATAGACAAGTGAAAATACTGAGAGGAGAAGATACGCGCCCGCAAGCACGCGAAACATATTTGCCAATCCAATGTAAATAAGCATCTGTTGCATGCTGGGACTCACTACGCTTCCGCCGATAGCACCACCAAGGGCTATGAGTCCATTAGCAAATGCAAGCCTC